ATATATACATATATATATACATATATATATATGTATATATATACATATATATATATACATATATATACATATATATACATATATATACATATATATATATATATATATATATACATATATATATATATATATATACATATATATGGTTTAAAACAAAACATATCCATGTGTTAGAGTGGCCCAGTCAAAGTCCAGATCTAAATCCAATCGAGAATCTGTGGCAAGATCTGAAAACTGCTGTTCACAAACGCTATCCATCTAATCTGACTGAGCTGGAGCTGTTTTGCAAAGAAGAATGGGCAATTTCAGTCTCTAGATGTGCAAAGCTGGTAGAGACAAACCTAAAAGACTGGCAGCTGTAATTGCAGCAAAAGGTGGTTCTACAAAGTATTTACTCAGGGGGCTGAATAATTATGCACACCCCACTTTGCAGTTATTTATTTGTAAAAAATGTTTGGAATCATGTATGATTTTTGTTCCACTTCTCACGTGTACACCACTTTGTGTTGGTCTTTCACGTGGAATTCCAATAAAATTGATTCATGTTTGTGGCTGTAATGTGACAATGTGGAAATACTTTTGCAAGCCACTGTAGTTAGCATGTGCTGACTGGCTGAGGCCTTGGTGGAGGTGGCATGTTCTTCCTGTGCCTGCTCGTGTTCTCTCCAGCTGCTCTGGCTTCCTCTAACAGTCCTGTAGACTGTAAATAAAAGACTGAAATATCCTAAGGATCTGACACGTGAAGGCAGTGCAGTAGTGGTTCAACCCTCTATTATTTCAATTACTGGTTGTAAGCTTATTAAAAACAACATTGCATCCATTTGATTAAATTACCTATTTGAGCCAAACAAGTGTGCTTTATTGTGTGATTGATAAGTGGGATTGAGTTTTCAGTGACATCAGTGACCCCTCAATTGCCTCATCTCATCTGTGTGTGTGTAGTACAGTATAATGGACCTCAGATATAAATGTATACATAAATATAGTACTTAATCACTTTCTCTAATGAATTTTCTTTGCCCTGCTGTCAGTGCTGATGTAGCAGCACCTCAGGTGTTCTGCTGGTAAAGATTTTTGCAGTGGAGTGTGTGGGTGTGACACTATATGCTGAAAATAGAAATGAAGCATGTTTCAGGCTTTACATTTTAAAAACAAAATAGCTGTATAAGTTGAGCAACAGCTAACTCTTTGGGAAAGGATTTACATGCTAAAGGCACGCAAAGTGTTCTAACATACCTTTAACATTATTCAGTTGTTCACAGAAAACACATCTGTGCTTAACGCACCCATTGGCACACTATTTTCTGTTTTCCAGCTTGTGTTTGTGATTTTGCCTTTTCCGAGTTTTCTTTGACAGAAAAGAACAGTAACCACTGGGTGTCTCCGTGGCAACATACTGGACTATTAGGACACATAAAAACTTTTTAGCTGAGCCAAAAAAAATCTTTGAGGTACTTAATTATGCATTAATTATTTAATGTTATGTGGGAAGGAGACCTGTGACAGGAAATATACAGTCATAAAATGATGAAATAAAGTTTGATTCTCAAGTCAAGATGAAGCCAGAGTTTGAAGTAAGGTGTAGCACATTGTGTTTAAGGGTCATCACAGGTCATGTAACCAAACTTATAATAAAGTATGATCATTGTCTCTTCCCATTGCTTCTCGTTCATTTCTGGAGATTCCGGCTGTCTAAAAAAAATCCCCACTATCAATTCAATTGAGTTCAATTGTGTTTTTATATAACACAAATTCACAACACCACCTTAAATTGCTTAATATTGAAAGGTAAAGACCTTACAATGCTAGAGTGAATCCCCAACAATCAGACGACCCCTTTGAGCAGCACTTGGTAACCGTGAGAAGGAAAAACTCTCTTTTAACAGGGGAAAAACACCCTCTGGCAGAACCAGGCTCAGTGAGAGCTCAGCATTATAACTTATATTATAACTATTGCAGGAAGAAGATAACAAAAGGTATAAACACACGAAGAGAGAAAAGAATGGAAGAGAAGTGCTCAGGGTATCATGGGAAGCCTGCTAGCAGACTGAACGTATTGCGGTATAAGGAATACTTCAGGATCAGCAGTCAAAAAGGAAAGTTTGAAATCTAACCTGAAAAGTAGAAACTGATAAGAGTTAAACTTTTGAGGAAAACAAACAAAATGTATTGGTCAACTCCATCCTCACCTTACAGCAAAAGAACCGGTCAGACTCTGTCAGAGCCTTATTATATTGTTTTCTTTCTAACACATAATCTTCAAGAAATGACTGTTTACTTTCCTAACATGTTTAATGAGCACCATTGTTATGGATTATTTACTCTTATTTGTGTGTTTGCCCAAATCATGAGCTCTAAGCATGAACGTATTCTCATTAAAGCAGATTTTCTGGCAGCGGTGTGTCGTGCTACATTTCCATTACTACAACTTTTCTTTCATGTCACCTTTTCCATGAACTTTCCTGACCTAAAACTGTGATTGTCTTGTAATTTTCATTTTCAACATGTACTCAAGTATGAGTAAGAAATTCCAGTCAGTAGTTGTAGCCTTGCCCCTCCATTCTGATCTCTCACTCACTCCCACACACACACATTAGTCCCCATTAATATTTATTATTTCCTCGTGTTTTTTTTTTCTTTTCTTTTTTTCTTCCATGTCCAACATCCTGGTTAGATAATGCGCACAAAAAAACAAAACCGAAAAAAAACATGGGCGGCATTAATGCTGTTTCATTGTGACTGTGACTTTTCCTGTTCCTCATTGCCTGAATTATTCTTCTGTATTTATATTGTTCTCGATTTTCCCTGCCCTACTTTTAATGTTGTCATCATCACATCATTGTGAAGTCATCGTTCTGTTGCTTATCTTTCAACACATATCTGTTTTTATGTAAAGCTAGAAAAGCAGACTGTAGGCTTTGTGTGAGCACAAAGAGCAACGCCACAGTGTGCACACTTTGACCAGAGCAGGTCTTAGAACTAGAAGCAATTCAGATGAACTATATACTGTCATGTCAGCTGTGGTGTCAGGTTACCTACTTAAAAAAACAGAAAGAAAGAATGAAGAAATAATTGTATTATAAACATGCCACAGTTTTATCAGTGCATGCGTGAATGACACTCAGTTTCTATTTGTGGAAATAGTACAGCTTATAAAATCTCATCTGTGTGTTTAGACCCAGTTTTCTGATCACTCATGTGCCTGATTGAAGACGGCAGAGTCTCTGAACAAAAGTCCTTTTTGTTTATTTGACGGGCAGCGGCGCACACAGATTCTCTGTGGAAGGATCAGATGTCACTCTCATTGTTGTTTTGATGCGGTGAAGATTAAAGTGTGTCACTCAGGTCAGCTTGGATGTCACCTTGTGGTTTTGTCAGCATCATATTTGGGCGATATTTTCTCCCCTTGGGTTTCATGTTGACAAAGTGGAATGTCGCTTGTGTATATTTGATTTGCCTGCTCAGTACTACACCACAAAGACGTTAGCAGACATACACGCTTCTAAATCAGTGAAAGGGTTTTTTTTTTTTTGCATTTTTGTCTGTAACCAGCAACTAGGCATCCAACTTCAGCAACAAAAGAACATGCTGGGTATTGGCATCACTCAACATGTGAATTAACATTTTTTTTATGTTATATAATATTATGCATGTAGTAATGTTAGTAGACTACTCTGCAACCAGTTTAATCCGTCCTGTCATCAAAATATAATTTTAATATTTTAAATACACGCTGACACCACCATGTGAAAGATCATGTGAAAGGAGTTCATGGTTTTTGTTTAAGTACATACAGTACATAACCCCACGTGGTATCAAACTGAGCACTGAGAATCATACTGTTGGTACTGACTATAGTCAGTAGCTGGCGATACCAGAAAAGTAGTATTAGTATACTACTTTTCTGGTATTGTGACATTGCCAGCGAGTATCTGCTTACTTTCACTGGCCGTGTATGAAAGGTAATGATTTTAAAATTTCATAATATTGAAAAAAATGATGATATTTGTTTTGGTTCATTTGGGTTTTTTCAGTATCATGGGAAACACAGGCACATATGCACCAAGGTTACAAGTTTTCCAAGACTGATAGATGCAACATATGGCTGTGGGTGTTCTAGTCTATCCTTACATCCTACAGAAGACCAAGCATGGCCAAAAGATCAGCAAAAATACTGGTGGCCAGCAGTGCTAGCCCTCAGCCTCCTCGCACATATGGTAATAGTTTGAAAATCCTTCTTGAGTTATTATGTTCAAGATTTTTAGTAAAGTTGAGCCCTGAATTACACCGAGTAAGCCTCAAGTGGCCATTAGAAGAACTGCAGGTTTCTTCCACACTGGCTTCATTTTTCACCAGCAGCTGTTTCACAAGACTGACTCACCTTTGAAACTCCACATTAGTTTTCTTTCTCTCCTTTTTAGGCCGTTGCCCACATCAGACAGCCATGTTACTTCAAACATAACTATTAACACATACTACCATTGTTTTTGCCACAACATGGAAAATATAGCAGGCAAATTTTGACTCTACACTCAGTGACCATCCTGCAGTTTCAGACAAACATGTTAAGCAACTGAACTCCAGGCCAGACAGTAGACTTACTTCCTCATAATCCCATAACAGACAACAAATAGCAGAAATCAGCACAGATTGTGTGTTTGAAGGCAACTCAAACACACTTGAATTGAAAAGAAAATGTCAAACAGCTCATGGAAACAGTCTAAAGCCTTGGTCTAACTTGTCCAGTTCAGTTATTACACCACATCACAAGAGCTGAAAAAAAAAGCGAGGAGAAAGGTCAAACATATCCCTTTGACTCCCAGATCCCAGATCAGCCCTGGCTGCTGCACATAAGGAAGTTCAGATGGCTTATTTACATGTTCTCTTCCTTACTGGTCATAGAGGGTTTTTTTCTCTCCCCCTTTTTTTTCTCAGCAGCCTTTACTTCCTCCAGTGAGTAATAAGAGCAGCTTCACACAGACCAGTGGTTTTGTCTATGTAAGTCACTCATTGAGAGCAGATCCCACACACACACAGAGGGAAAGAGATTAATGCTGCGAGCCACTACCTGCTGAATCTGTAAGTGTGAACTCAAAGTCTGACTGCTGTTTGTGCTGAATGTGAGCTGAGGGTGCAGTCTTGTCATGTGTAGCTCTGTGTCAGGTCCAGACCGTGCGGTCTGCCCTGAGCACAGAGGTTGTGGGAGATAATGTGGCTTTTTCAGAAAACAGTGCTAGGAGCTTGCAGTTTACCAAGTGATCAGCAGAGGATGTGGTCTGCTGCAGGCTGCAGCAGGCCTGTGCAGACTGCAGCCCCTTGCTGACAGTACTGTAGGTGGTGTCAGATGAAAACAGCTTCTCCTTTACAGATATTTGTGGAATGTTGGTTCTGGTGAGATAATAATAGCTTTTATAGGTCGAACAATCTTCTTAGAGATGAAACGATTGTTAGATTGCTTTTTGTTTGCTTTTTGTTTGCTTTGTTCTTTCTTCCTCATACCTGAAATGTTGCGTTAACACACGGAGGGCAGTACAGTAATCAGCTCATCCTGCGTTGCACAAAAGTGCGATGGCGTATAGGCTGAAGGGTCAGTGACACTTCCTCACAGCGGTTTCGTGTGTGAGAACATTGTGAAGGTCTCCTACTCGAAATAGCTCTGTCTTTGTGGGAGGACAAACAGAAGAAGTGGGCTGAGTCATTCAGCAGTATTTTTTCTTCACCTCTACACTCACTGTGATCTGTGTTTGGACCTGAAGCGCAAGAGGGGGTTTTCCAGAGAGCGCAACAGCACGCGGGTGGAATGGGAGAGGCCGCTCACATCAGTTCCATTCATTCATGATTTGGCAGAGCAGGGTGTGACTGTAGGTAAAATTAGAGCTGTGATCAGTGCAGACCCTTTGCTTCCTCTCCTAGTGTGTGTGTGTGTGTGTGTGTGTGTGTGTGTGTGTGTGTGTGTGTGTGTGAGGAGGAGAGACAGAGAAAGGGGCTTTCTTAGCCAGCATGACGTCAGTGAAGCGTTCGCAGTCATGAGGTTGTGGTAACCAGAGCAGATTCTATCAACCACAGTCAATTTGTCTGAAAACCCCTGTGAGACCGCAGCTGCGCTTCCTGTGTTTATACCGACACTCTCTGTCTCCACCCCTCGCCCTTCTCCTCTCCTCCTCCTCCTCTTTTGACACTTGTCAACTGTTCCAAAACACAGGCTGTCTCCGTGGAAACGCCGATGAGCCACAATAAGGAGGCGAAGAGTAGGATTCCCCAGCCAGACGGTCCCGAGCGCGCAAAGGAGGAGGAGAGGAGCCACTCTGATTCGCTGGCAACCATGGACGCCAAAGTGGAGCGCTTTCTCAAGTTAGGATACTCTTACAGCGACATCCTCAGGGTACTGGAGAGCCTCCGGCACGACGCCCAGACCAATGACATCTTGGAGGAGCTGATAAAGACGTGCCACACTCGCACCCACAACAACAGGAGCGTGCCAAACAGCCCCAAGCTGGTGCCCAGAGGCTGCAGCCCCAGCCCCAGCCAAGCCAGACCGGGACCGGACAGAGAAGCGGCAGCTGGATTCAGACCGGTGGTTATAGACGGCAGCAACGTGGCCATGAGGTGAGTCAGCACATGACATTCGCTTTATGTATGCTTATGCATTAAGTACAGTGGAAGGAGTCCTCCAGTTACAGTGCACTACAGTAACTTCATACTTCTTCATATCAGAGTAACCGTGTCTGTCAGGTGTTAGGCGGAGTGGGTGGGGGTGAAACGCAATGAATACATCTTATCTGAGCTTCTCAACATCCACCCGTAAAGTTTTAATTGAATGTTCGCCTCTCTGAAATGGAGCTGATCTTACAGAACAAGTGTGTAAGAGTGTTGATTTGAAAGGTAACATCTGAGAGCGAAGTTAACTCTAACCCCAAGTTTGTGCCACAGACCCGATGGGTGTTAGGCAGCTGTTCACAACTGTACCGAAGCCCTTCGCTCACTTTATTCATCAGACAGGCACGAAGGCACAAGGAAGCAAACCGTTTTTTCACAGCAAAGAAAACACGCTTCGTCACTTCCTGGAAAAAACAAAACAAAAAACACTTGTTTGAGGCAGTAAAAAGAGCGGAGACGCGTTCCTCTCTGTGAGGCTGAATGAGGATAACTTTGGTTTAACTTTTCAATCTCTCACCAGAGGCTGTCTGTCTGTCTATGTCAGAACTTGTTTCAGTTCACAAATGTGATTGCAAAACACTTCCTCTTTAAAGACGTGGGAAGTGAAAACATGATCTGAGCCGACACTTTTCTCCCTTTTGTTTTTTCACTCAATTCCAGATTATGTTCGTGCCCTGAAGGGCCTTTGACACAGTGACCATTCCACAGTGCGTTTTACTTGTCAGGTTTGAGCTCTTTAAGTGATGTTTGTATCGAGCGTGACTTGTTACACGTGTAGCACTGTACATTAACGCCATTTGATCTCACGGTTGGCATCTGCACCTCCACCCAAAGTAGATAACAAGGAAGTTTGGAGTGAAAAATGTTTTCGCTCGAATCAAAGACGGTATGGCATGAATTCAAAACAAAAAGCAAAGGAGCAATGTTTTCATAACGCATATTCCTGTAAGGACATGAAGTGAGCTGAAAGAGGAAGAGGGCTCAGATATTTACTGTCACTGCTTTATTCCCAGGTAAGATGGTGTAACTGTAGTCCAGCCTCAGGTGTGAAACCTCAGAGGCTGTGGGGGGTAGCTCTCATCGGTTTCCCTGTTTTGTTTCCCTTCTTCAGCTCTGAAGCTGACGTACAGTTTATCATGTTTAAGTGGAACTTGAGTGTCTCATGGGAAAAACAGACCCAGTTCCTGTCCTCAGTCATCAGAGCCTCTCACTGCTCTTTCTTCCTGATTAGTTTTTTGTGGCCATGTAAAGGAAATCAGTCAAAGGGATTTTACTGCTGCACTTTATTGAAACTGGATTACCTGTAATTACATTTTAGGCCCGACAGCTGCAGAAAAAACAAAAAAAAAAGCACTAAGTAAAAAAAAACAACAAAAAAACAAAAACCTACTACTCCTACACATTGCCGTTCACACCGTGTTTTTGCAAGATTCTTGCAAAAACCCACATCTTTTTAGTTTTTTGATTGAAACACCCCCACATTCTTGGTTTGATAAATCTGTCATTTCTGAGCCCATACCTAGATTAATCATGACACGTCCCTTCATTCCCTCTTGACACAAAAAACATTATGCTCCAGCACATGTGACAAGTAATTCTTCACGTTTATCAAAAGAGAACGATTCACACATGAGAAATGTACAAAAAAAAAAAGACATGTTTATAACATTTTGGAGGTACGAACTGCTGATCTGGCAGCTCGGGTAAACTCATTACTCAGCAGACTGAGACTTTATCAGCAATACATGAGGATTTAAAGCTGCACGGATTTATATATCACCAATCTGAAAGACGCTCACAGTGACAAACCCACAGACAAACCATTTTTCACCCACTAGTTCCCCTCAGCTTTACAGAACACTTTAACCTGTTTTAGCTAATTATTAAGCTTGCAGCTTTAATGTTTACAGCAGCAGATGGCACTTTACACTGGAAACTGCTGCCAAACACCAGCACAGTCTGACACAGGCCAGAATCAAGTAACTCAAGTGGCTTTTTACTTTTTCCTCTTATGTGATGTTTAAAAGATTCAGTAACTCCTATGCACAAGTTTATCAAAACTTAAACAACACCTCTTTACAACTGTAATAAAGTAGGTAATGAGTTGAATCAGAATACTGATTCATGAAAAATAGACCAATAATAAATAAATAAAAAGCATTAATTTTTTACATTCCTGCACTGTTTTTGGTTATAGTAGCCACAAATAAAAAAATTCATTTGTTCATTTATTCTTAAAAATCCACTTTTTTCATTTAAATTTCTAAAGTTAATTAGTTGCTTTTATTTTGTTCCCTTTAACTCACGAATGAACGTGCAGCCCTCTGGTCTCATTCGACTTCTCTGGGAGCTTAAACAAGACAGGAAATATCATTTTAAAGTGTCATCTGTGAGTCATCTGTAAAGTTATGCAAGGTAGATTAGCTAGATTATCTCGGATCCATAAACTAGCTCATGCCAAAAGCTTTATCTTTGTTACCTGTTGTATGCAAAGTATCTTGCCACTTCCTGATGATGAAAAGAAGGGGAACACCCACAAGCACACGCCTTATTCTTTTCCTGCAGGCAAAACGATCCAGTTTACTTCTTCTGAAGCCTTTTGACTTCATACAGTAGGTTTGTATTTCAGAGAATAAATGTTGAGCTGTTCCAAAGAATGAATGTTGAACTAGAACAAACACAAGTGTCGTGTTGTCTCAGGCTCTCCTGGCTAGGTGTGACAATGACCACAATTCAGCAGTGTAGTGAAATGTAACCTTATTCTGTTTTCCTCAAAATTTCACGATTAATACATTGCTGGAGAAGGCTGTTTGTTTTAAGCTTCCACTTTGTGAATTTTAAAACATTAATAAATGATCTCACAAATTCCACGTGAAGAGTCTCTCTTACGTTGAAAACGACTTATCTCTGTGCTTGTGCAATCATGAACTAGTGAACACTTGCAACATCATTAGTTTCCTGAAAAAGGGAGAAGCATGTGTGGGCAAAATGTGCACGTTAGCGCAAAAGAAGAAGCTCTCTGTTTTGTTTTTTCTTCTGTTGTTCACTCTGGTTTTTGTATGCGTTGTTTTTTTTTGTAGCCACGGCAACAAGAAGGTGTTTTCGTGCCAGGGTCTCCAGCTGGCAGTAAACTGGTTTTGGGACAAAGGGATGCGCGACATCACTGTGTTCGTCCCCCTGTGGAGGAAGGAGCAGCCGAAGCCTGAGGCGCCCATCACAGGTAAGGTCACCTGACAGTGCTGTGCACTCAGCTCAGGTCAGCTGTGTTTGTCAAGTCTCCACTAATTATTCTTGTTCACTGATGAAAAAGTGCCTTTATAATTGAATCCTCCTGGTCAGGGTGAAGTAGAAGTGAAGCCTGATTAACTCACGCTTCAGTTATGATTCCATAATTACTTCAGCGTTTTGTTTGTCAGCATTTACATTCAAGATCCTCAATTTGATTACAGGGATTCTTGGCTCAGTAACCAGGAAGAAATGTCTTTCTATTAAAAGGGGTTTTCCTTCCCACTTTTGCCAGGTGCTTACTTGGTTTATCCGGTTGTTGCAGTTTTCCCTTTTCCATTGTAAGGTCTTTACCTTACTACATAAAAGTGCCTTGAGGTGATGGTTGTTCGATTTGGCATTTGACATAAATAAAGCTGAATTGAATTTCCTCCTTTCCTGCTTCACACAGTGGGGTGTGTTATTCTGCCTATTATAAAGCTGCAGTCATTCATTTTATTTCTGTTAGGACCATGTGTCCATCCATTTTCTTCAGCTTATTCAATTCAGGGTTAGATAAAATCTGAATGTTATTCCTTTTGCAGTGGGTCTTTCTGTGCACAAACATAAAAAACACAAAAAAACCAGCAGAAGACTGCAGAGCAAAGCACATCAGTGACAACATATATAAGACTGATTATGTCAACAGACATGGGTTCCAAAGGAGCTTGCAGTGGTAGTTGCAGCATACAGCATGCAGTACATAGAATGAATCTGCTTTAATGTGCCAAATGCAGTCTAATATTTCTAAATCCAGATGATACAGACTAGCAGAGCATTTAAATGGAGACAAGCAGCCACTGTGACAGTACACTCAGTGGTTTATTACACTGTCAATATAATGTATACTGATTAGTGGAACTTTAATCTGTGTTTACGTTACAGTTAAATCATGCCATTTGAATACTAGTACATCCTCAGCTCATGTAATTGTAAGTTTGGCTTACCAACAGTACTCCTGACTCAAATATAATCAAATACACAGAAGCTGCCTGAACGTCCTGCTGCCTGTGTGTGTGCACGTGTTATAAAGAAACCCAACCTGAAACTATGCTGGTCGACAAAGCAGGTTGTTTTTTGTAGTTCATCAGTGTAAAGCTTTAATGTAGTCTGAAGCACTTGTAAACAGTCAGAGTTTCCAGGTAGAAAAAGTGTGCTTCACAGGAAATGATGCATTTTTCTGTTAGAGAAGCAGTTCATTTAAATAAGCTGAAGAAAACAGTGCATGCCACTACACTGTGTGCCACACACTGTCTGATCGGTTATTAGCAAAGCAATCACAAAAATGGTAAATGGACTGGTACTTAGTGCTTTTGCTATTACCACCCTCCTGAGCCACAGCTCGGAGGATTTGAAGGAAATAAAATCTTTATAAGTGTTCTTAACATGTACTTTGCCAGTGGGGCACATAACAGATGGCTGCTGGTAAATCCCTGTCCCTTCTTCCTGGCTGTTAGAGTCATCTTGTTTGGCAGCTGGTGGCTTCCAATGGAGCCCATCCAATAGTTATGACCTCGTTTCATTGTGAAAAGCAGGTATTGAACCCATAGAGCCTCCTTAAACAATGAGGAAGTGTAAGCATGAAAACTGAAATCCTACACGTCGTTCATGTCCAATCATGTCCAATCATGTCCAATCATGTCGGCTAAAAATAGCTGCTTTCCGGAAAGCTGCAGTCAGCTTTTATTGCCATTATCAGTGTCAGGTAAAAAAAATCCACAAATTGTTTCTTCCTGGTGTGATGTTTACTGTAAAAACAAAGAGACTGAGAAAAGATTAAAAGCTCACATGGAGTACAAGGTGCCTCAGTCACCTGCCTGAATAAATGTCTCGTATCTGTCAAGGACGTTACCACACATCATTTAAAGTAATCTCTAACCTGTATAATATTTGTCCCATAGATCAACATATTCTCCACGAGTTGGAGAGGAGGAAGATCCTGGTGTACACGCCATCCCGCTGCGTAAACGGGAAGAGGGTGGTGTGCTATGATGACCGCTACATAGTCAAGCTGGCCTTTGACTCAGATGGCATCATCGTGTCCAATGACAACTACCGCGACCTGCAGACAGAGAACCTCCAGTGGAAGAAATTCATAGAGGAGAGGCTGCTGATGTACACATTCGCCAATGACAAGTAAGGCTTCTTAAGGGGCAGGTTGAAGGGGGTTACTTGTTTTGCATGGCTGATTGGGGGTGATTTGCCCCACTATTGGACCATGTGTTCAGCTAGACTAACTGCAACTCTGTGCCGGTGCAGGTTCATGCCTCCAGATGATCCTCTGGGCAGGAATGGTCCCACTATTGATGATTTTCTGAGAAAGAAGCCACGCACCCCAGAAAACAAGCTGCAGCATTGTCCATATGGTTAGTACGGTCTATTTGAACAGACAGCTCATGTTACACTTCCTTGTGCTCCTCTAAAGATAAGAAAAAATATATACAATCAATGGAACTTCTGTGTAAATAGAGGTTTGTTTTCTGAGCAGATACCATTTCAAGTTCAGTCACCAGGGATACACCCACACACCCACACACACACTGCTGTTAAGCAAACATGACAGTAAGCAAATATGATGCATTTCTTGCATCAGAAGATTCCCACCAGCATTTCCTGTCCAAACTTCAGCACACACAGCAGAGGACCAGTGCATACAAACAGGTCGTTTTACACTAGTATCATGAGTATTTATGTTTAAAAGTAGCTGATCTAAGGAGCTTAGAAAGAAAAAAAAAAAAAAAAAGCATCTGGACTTCTTTAAGTTGCTTGAAGCCGTTTCACCTCTCATCCAAGAAGCTTCTTCAGTTCTAGGGACTGAAGAAGCTTCTCGGATGAGAGGTGAAACATCTTCAAGCAACTGAAAGAAGTCCAGATGCTTTTCTTTCTAAGCTCCTTAGACTATGATGACCTGGATGACTGAGAACCTTTACAGACAATAGTAACTGATAAAGCTAATTTTACTTTGAAGAAGACATTCTGCTTTAAGCAGTGAGTAGCTTTGCATAATTCCAAGTTCAAAAATAATTCTCAGTCCCTACAAGACGATTAACCCCAACAATCAAATGACCCTCTTTCCTTCCCACTGTTGCCAAAGTGCTCAAAAACTCAATTTTAACAGGAAGAAAACCAGCAAAACCAGGCTCAGTGAGAGGCGGCTATCTGCCAAGACCAGTTGGGGGTGATGGGAGGGAAACAGGACGAAATAGTTAGAAATTAATAATAACTAATGATTAAATATAGAATGGTAGCGGTGGTAATTCACCCTATAATTGATAAAAATGACCTTGAAATCCAAATAAGTCATCCACCACTGTTGAGGTGAACAGCTCATTCATTTGGTAGTTGATATAATTCAGTGAGGGCCACAGGTTCAGTTCACGTCTACTTTTGTATATGGAATTTTCTCCAATATGGCACAACCAAATGGAAAGTTTATGACATACTCCGGTTTCTGGGAATGTGCCTGTGTCTAAAATACAGCCTTAAATCTGGTGTGGAGTTTAATAACTGTAATCACCAGCATGTAAAATAGTTTGAAACTTGAGTAAACCTTCCCCCCTCCAGAAAAAACAGTAAAGCCCAGACTTTCTGACTGCGAAGTAGTAAATGTGGGAAATGCTGGAGATAAACCCAGACTGACCACAGTGTATTCCTGACATTATCTCAATATTTCATAAGAATAGAATGATTTTTCAGCCCACAGAGGAAGTATAAAGTCTCCAGATGTCATTACAAAACTCAGATTTCAACACATCACAACCTTTTTTTAATGACTGGTACAGTTTTTTGTTTAAAAAAAAAAAAAAAAAAAAAAAAAAAAAAAAAAAGTAAGGTTGTTAAATGTTGAAATCATGTGCTTTATGGCCAACAAATGAGGAGAAACTGAGCCAGTAGGGGGCTCTGGCTTCACTTGTCTGCGCTCATTCAGCTGTGACTTTTCAACTGGAGAATTTGAAATTTGTGGAAGGCCCTGATCTCTCAGGAAGAGCTTAGCTGAGGAGTCAGTCAGTGACTGGACTTAAAGACATCCATTTATAAGACAGCTACAAAGTGCCCTACACTGTGAGTGCCAAAGAAACAAAGAGAGCAGATGATTTGTTTGTAATTCTAGTGGCTTTTACACACATCCTGAGCTAAAGTTTAGCTTGTAGTGGCCCAGACACAATTTCTAATTTTGGGAATTTGTATTTTTGTCTTTTAGGAAAGAAATGCACTTATGGAGTAAAGTGTAAGTTCTACCATCCAGAGAGGGCCAACCAGTCCCAGTTGTCAGTGGCTGATGAGCTGAGGGCCCTAAGAGACAGAGACAGAGCCAAGAACATCTCCCCTGCTGCATATCAGCAGGAGCACAGGTACATCTCCACCCCTCCACCTCTGGGCATAGATGAGCTGTCACACAGGGCTTCGCCAGGGGAGCAGTCCATCTGTCAGAGGGACACCAGCAGCCCGAGAAACCAAATGAACTCAAGTCTCCAACACTGCCCGAGCCCAGATATAGATGAAGCCTTCAGCTCCATGGACAGCTCTCTGTCCAGGCTCTATATCCATGACATGGCCTACAGCAGGGAGCAACCTGTGCACAGCTGCAGCAGCGGGGTGGCCAGCTACAGCCTGAGTCAAGATGAGTACTCTGGGTCTTATGGTGGCAACGCCCCGAGGATCTGCCTGAACGGGGGTTACTACGCTCAGCCAAATGGACTGGCATCGCGTGAGCCCCCCACGTGCAGTCAATGCAGGTGCTGTCACCAGCAGACCAGACTATCCCCAAACAGCCACCAGCAGCAGCACCACCACCACCTCCAGCAGCATGGATGGAGCTCATGTCCAGCTCTACCACCACATAATGGGGAGCTTCCCTCTCAATTTGCAGAGAAGCAGTACTACAGACAGCCCTCCCACAGACAGACCCACAGCTTGCCCAGGGACCCATGGGTGCAGGGCAGCCTGTCTGACCCTAGGCTGAGCAGTGGGGCTAAGAGCCCATTGAGCGAGCGGAGGAAGGCTCTGAGGATCCAGCTTAGCACCCTATTCCCCCAGAACATGGTAGAGCAAGTCATGAATGCTTACCCGCACGTGTCTGACATGTCTGAACTGATTTCTCTCATCCAGAACTACAGAGCGAGCCACTTCAGTTTCTAGATCCCAAGGATTTTTTTTTTTTTTACATTTCTTCAAACCGAGCCCATGTTGGAGTTCTCAATTCAAAAGAAAAGTGAAAACTGAAGAACGAGAGCACTTCTCGAAATTACTGTGAATTCATTATGACAGTTTGTACTGTGCAAAATGATTTGTCTTGCTTGAACATGATGCAAACTTACCCTTCATTTGAAGCATTACAAAGTGACACGATCTGCAGAAAATGTAGCAGATTGAGTGCTCTCTCTTTATCCTAGTGTAAAAGTGCAATGCACTAAGCTCCATACAAGCTACTTATTGTAGCCTGAAAATTTTTTGTTTTAAATAAAAGCAGCATGTGTTGTTTTCCCATGTTGCCTCAAAGTGAGGAACGCTATATTCTATATTTCTGTAAAGAATGTCATTGATCTATTTTTAATATGAATTCGAATGCCTTGTTTTTGCTGAGAAATAAAAGCGCTCAAACCACATTACCACTGGGTAATTTTCTATTTGAAACTGTGCTTATAGATGTGAAGCTAAGGTGAAATTTCAATGCCATTAATGTCATTAAAAAAAGAAAAGAAAAAAAAGACAGCCATTGCTCTCTGATGGTAGCTTTAGTAGAGCAGCTTTGCATGATTTACAGTTCAAAATGATCCTTATTTTGGTGCATGCCATCAATCTGAAACAAGCTGTTTACACCTAGGGCTGCATCAGAGAAACAAACATAGCTTCTGGATCTGAAAAGTAAAGTCTGTACAGAAGTGCCACCACCCTGCGTACATCTCCTCCAGCTGAGCTTTTTGCTCAGTGATTTGTGTACATACACCGATTTCACGATTTTAAACTCTGGCCATACTGGAACAGTACAGAACAGCAAATAAGGAACAGCAGAGTACGTCTACTTTAAAGTGAGCCCGCTGTTCAACCAGTAATGACGCTGCAGACGTTTTCCTTCACACGTCAAGCACATGCATGTTCCTCCCGAGACACGGGCTTCTGAGCCTCTTTTTAAACCTGTGTGACATTTTGTTTTGTGTTTAATGTACCGTTGCATTTCCCAGAAAGCTGTTGACTTACAAAAGACTGGACGAAATACAAGGAAGCAGGAAATAAACCAAGAGGAGGCCAGAGTGCTCTCTGACATGTGAGCACTTTTGCAATATCTTTCTTCCTTGTTTTTTAAGGGCTGACATAAAAGGTCCATAGGCCATGGCCATAAAAATGCAGGTAGTAGATAACACAATGAAACGCTGAAATGTGATAATAAAGATAAAGCTGGAAATTATTGCTTCATTTTGCTATATTAGGCAATTTTGAAAAAGACTGCATCATAAATTTCTTTTTATCTAACCATCTGCAGGGAAACAATCTCCCAGCCAACCTGTACACTGAGCTATACTGCCATCTAGTGGACAGAACATTCAGAACATGACAGAAGCAGCACAAACATTCTGAATAGATTTTTTTTTTTAATTTTTACAAATAACTTATCTGTTACAAAGACAGTTTTCCCAGCTAAAATCAAAAAACACTTTAGATGTCCAAATTTTTTTTTTTCATGTATTAAAACATGAATAAACTGCCTCTTCACACCAAGGTGCAGATAAAGCTGAAAACTGGTTTTTGGGGGTTGGAAAAAGAAAAAAGTATGACATTAAGTGCTTAAGAGACAAGAATTCATTTATAAATTCATAAATCAGTGAGTTAAAGTCATAGGAAATTTTAGGGGTTTAAAAAAAAAACAAAACAAACAAACTTGGATGTGACAGGGCAGGTTATTAATACAAAGGCACTAATGCAAGCCATTGTTTCACATAATCCACAGTTCCACAGTGAAACATGACAGGAAGTACATTTTAGAAAAACCCTCTGCAATAAAAGCTTAGGAGGATGAACTGCTCCAAAGCAAAGTGTGCAGAATAGACAGTTTGTTTTGCCTCAACTGCTCCCAACACGCAACAATCCTGACTGTAAGGCACAGGAACACCTTTAACAGAAATATATTCACTTTGACCTTTGGTACCTAACAAAAAGCCAATTCAGGCACACAGCAACATGGAAACTGTTCCAGGAGCACTTTGACATGGTTCTTGATTGCACTGGAGAGTGAGTGTCTCTTTGCACTGAGGTGTCGTTGTCCTCCAAACATCAAAACTACATTCCAGTTGTCAGATAAGATGGCAGTTTGTTATTTACCCCTTCCCTCCCCTCTCCAAACCCACCCCCAACAGTCCCGAACGTAATTGGTGTCCTGGAAAACAAAAACACACACTCACGCTTACACTCGCACGCACACACATACACTCACAAAACAGGAAAAAAACAAAAACAAGACGCCTCCATCGCCTTCCACTTTTGCTGCATCTGCAGATCATACACAGGAACCTCAGCAATGACGCGGGCGATGAACGGGCCGGGCAGACGTAGCTTCATGATGACTGCGAGGGGTTTGAACAGCTCCACTCCTCTCCTTCTGCAAGGCTTCAACTCTCACAGAAATCAAAGCTTAAAAAGGGGGCACGGTGCTTATTTGGTTGAAAGAAGGGAATCAAAACAAGTTAATAAAAGTCTATAAAGCTATACTTACAGGAAATACAAGTGATTCATAGTGTGAGGAAGAACGGTTTTAAAAGGCACATTCTAAAATTATGTACAGTAAAAAGCTTGAGGGGAGTTTCTGCCTCCGTGTTCTGTACACAAACCATGCAACCGTTTTTTGTTTCGCGTTTTGGTAACTCACGATCAGAGACACAGAGAATGGCGCTGAGGAAAGTAGGCACGTTTGAGTGACAGCAACACTGGCGGTTCCTCCTTTGGCATCCACTACAAACAGCAAACAAACTTTAAAGTCCACGAGTTCCCTTCAAGTGGAGAACGGTGGCTCAACACAGTTCCCACCCCCCCTTCCCCAGTCATGCCACCACCACAGAAGAAGAAGAAAAGGGACAAAAAAAAAAGAAAAATCAGCAAAAGGCACATCTGTGTTGAGTGTGCATGTGTGCAATCACGCTGCAGGGCCACGCTTGTAATACTGTGAAGTGGGAGCAGCGAGGTATCCCCAGGGTGTAAAGTGTCACCTGTCGAGCAAGGGATGTGTGGAGAACGGGACCCCACACTATGCCAGTCTCTAAGGTGAGGTATCATCCGACTCTGCCAGCCTATATTAAGAAACGCAAGCTGTAAACACCATCCAGTCAAGCCTTCAATGGACAGTGTTCTACAAGCCTATAGAGAGGAGAAGAAAATAACAAAACAAAACAAAACAAAAAAACAAAAACAAATGGGCTGCACGGTGTACGAGGACTATGCCCTGTCCCGGTTTTCATACATCTAGGAAGTAACAGACAGAGCCCCGGTCTGTTCTAATCTGCTAGAAGACAGGCGGGCAGAGGAAGGGGCAGCGTGTCGCAGCCTTGTTGGCTCAGAAGTTCCGCGGGAAATCGCACTGTTCACAGCGGATCAGGGCAGGGTGATTGAGGAAGGTGCAGGCTGTGCAGCTCCACTGCGTCCCCTCGTCCTCCTGGTCTGTGATGGGCTTCACACTCTTACTGCCCGTGTCTGAGAAGGAGAAGAGGAGTCGAGTGAGGGATGGGACAGATGTAACATCACAAGCATAAGAATGCATTTATCAGCACTTAAATGTAATATTCTGATAGTGCCTTGGTGTCAAGGAGAAGAGTCTCTAAAAGGCTGCCACTTCAACAAGCAGATCAGATGATGAAATAACAACAGCGTCCACTGTGTCCGTTTCATATTTGGAAACCCTCCTTTTTCATTTTTCAAAGTTTTGTAAGCTCACCAGTTTAAAAGACAGCCAGTTTATCAAAGAACCGATACTTCATGGGATTCGGTTTCCATAGCTTTGATTTGACTGATGAGCCAAATATCACCACCGGTCTAATGGCAAATATGAGGCCAATATGTATCTCTTGTGACACATCAACTATGTGTAAGCTAAATGTTCAGAGACTGTGTGAAAAAGAGCTAAAATACTTTAAAACTTATTTATAGAAGACATTTTTTACTCTGTAAGAAACCCCCCCCCCCCCCAAGGAAGACTGAAAGACAGGCTGATTCCAATATTTTCTCAAACACTTATTCCAAACAACACCTATCTGGAGTTTCGAAAGTTTTGCAAATACCATAAATGAGGGTATGCTATTTGAACATGCATCACAGGGGCTTAGAAATCTGTTAAGCATGCAAAAGAAGTGCATACTCGATAGAAATAGGACTGAGAAGAACCACACAACCATTCCACTATGAGGTCTCAGTATTTACACACCCTCTGCTGTGTGGTCCAGCTACAATACAGACATGCACATCAACACGAGGAGAAGTGTAGTGCACTGACTCCTGACCACATGCCGGCTTTAACCTTAGGACAAGGGTGTCAAACTCCAGTCCTCGAGGGCCAGTATCCTGCTTATTTTTGAGATATCCCTGCACTACCTGCTGCTGATTAGCTGGATCAGGTGTGCTTTCCCAATAAGAAGCTACAAGGGCAGATTAGGTGGAAAATAAGCAGGACAGCCGCCCTCCAGGCCTGGAGTTCGACACATGTGCCTTATGATATCAGGGGCGGTGGCCAGTGCAATGAGAAACGTCAGACATGCAACCTTTTTTAAACTTACCAATAGATAAAGTACCTTTGGGTTTGGGTGGGACAGGACCGAGGAATCCAATGTTGTCGTAAAAGTTATGGATTGCACCGGGATTAAAGTGTGGTCCTGTACACAAAAAGAAGGAGAATGGAACCAAGCCTTTCCCACACATTTCACCGCGTGTTGTATTTGTATAACTATGCACGTGACAAATAAAGAATCTTGAATCTTAAGGGACAGTATTGCAAAGGTATGATGTACTATTAGCATTAGGCACTAGAGAGGTCCTGAGGTACTTCCTAGCAGGGAGATCCCCTGACAACGACCTTCAAAGCATCTTTTCTGCACCACCAATAAGAAAGCTACAAGGTAAAAACAGCAAACCATTATAAACTATAAAAACAGCTAACTAACAGCCAGCTCTTGCAGGAATGGCTACAACATTTCCCATTTCACCCATAAAATGCTAGAATTCTGCTAATGCGTGCTGTTTGGGAAGAATTTACATTTAGAGAGCACACACACACTATGAGTTAAATCAACAGAAACCTACACAGTTGAGATACACTCATCAGGGCTCCATTCATTCTGGGTTATCTGATGAGCAGCAAAAGCTGAAACAAGGAGTCCAGAGAATGGGAGTTTGAATGTTTAAGATATCTAATTCATATCTAGACTTGCATGGCAGCCACTGGATGAGTAACAAGGGGTTGAAGCTGACTCCACAAGCTCAACAGGTTCCCCTATGGAAACTGAGTCTTACTTCCTCTAGATAGATCTTGTTAACCGAGTCAGTTTAAAAATTTAGGGAGGGGCAAAAATCTCACTGCTATTATATCAAGTTGTGTGTGTAATTATTGAATGCCAAAAATGTAGCTAAA